ACAGTATCTGAGAAACTAGCCAAATAACGAAAACTTTACCTTGATCACCGATCCATGATGATATGAGGTCAAGGTCAGGTGAACTCTGTCTAACAGACAGATAGACCTTGCAAAGATCCCATATATACCAAATATATTATTCTATTACATCTAATAAGTCAGAAATCAGACGACAAAAACTATGTACTGTCTTTCGCAGTCACTGTCACTGAACCGTGAAAATTATGTCAAAGACAATGGCCATATGACGGACGGAAACTTCGTTACATAAGGCATCTATATACAAAGTATGAATCATCCAGGTCTTCTTCCTTCTGAAATAACCAGCATTATACAAATAGTTTACAACGTCGCCGGATTTAGCATTCATATGTCTCGCGTTCTGAGACTTTGCTTTTTAAAGTTTCAATTTATCTATTAAGATAATGATTTCAATATTAAAGGCAAAAACGCATAACGGTTAAATTCGTCCTTAAAGGGGGCAATAACTCCAATAAGTTCTTGTCCGACGATTTCGGTCATGTTAAGTTATTTGTAGATCTTCTGTCATGTTGATCATTTAAACCATTTCAAGCTTCACTCTTTCTATGATAGTTTTCACGATAATAGGCAAAAATGAAAAAGAGGGTCTAACTTGTCTTTTAGGTTAAGGACAATTAACTCCTATAAAAATTCGTCTGACAGTTTCAAAATAATAGACAAAACATTTATTTTACACCATGCTTTATTTTTATCCATGTCAGCAAAGTCGGAATTTTAAACAAGCTACCTAAATGCTGAGTGTTGCCACGTTTGGTTCCAGTTGGCCCAGTAGTTTCATAGAAGGTTTTTGACGACGGACCTTTCAAATTTGTCTGAGATATTGCTGATGTAAACCAAGGAAATGCATGCAGGAGGCTTACAATCAGTTGGTTTTCCTTATAAGTTATATAACCCAGGTGTATTATTGTCTAACATACCGGTATTCAATCGCGCTGAATTTTGCGAAACCTAGACATAAATTTCAGGCGTCGGCGTGATAGCACTTATAATGTTGATTTTCCATAATGTACAAAGAAAAGCCGCGTTGGATATTTTTTACTTTTCAAGATGAATAACTTTTGAAAAATATTTTATCGGCGTTGATTTTTGAACACGTCTGAGATATTGCTGATGTAAACTATTACAGTATAATTTCCATATCATCTACTTATCCATGGGACTAACTTACAAATTATCAACCTATCGGTGCTCATTTTTTATCTGTATTCTTCGACTTAAGGTTATTGATTTTCCAATGAAAATTTTCTAACTTTGTTCATACCCGTAGATTACGAAAAATTATTTCAAAGAATAGCAATTGCATCAGAAATGATACACGGCTGTAAACATTTGTAGATAACATATTAGCAAATGTGTTGAAGAATTCATATGATAAACAAAAGAATACAATAGTTGCTGACAATAAAGATACAGTATGAGTCAAGGAGGGACCATGTACGCCGGAAGAAATCACACGACCAAAAAATGATGGCAAAGATAACCACTGAGCACACAAGTTTTTAGTTTCGCAAATCTCCGACTAATCCAGTTGTAAAACTCTGCCAACGGCTATTACTTCAATACCAGGGAGTTGGTTGTCCCACGTGATCAGTTCACGGCACAAAAAGTCTATCATAAATGTAACCAGGATATATCAAATATCAAAAGTTGTTAAATAATGTAAGCAAACTGTACATTGAATGGATGTTTAACATGAGACAGTCCTGTTCCGTATGTGTATTTTTTTAAATTTTTGTAGACACATTTCGGAATAAAATATGTTTAGAATATGAAGGAACCTTGCTTTTACAGATACCAGTATATTTATTCAAAAGTGGATTTACCCCGGCCGAGGTTCGAACCAACTCCCGCAAAAGCTTTATGACGGTAACAGCATATATGAATTTGAAAAAACACGAACTTAAAATTGAGAATGGAAATGGGGAATATTTCAAAGAGACAACAACCCGACCAAAGAGCAGAAAACAGCCGAAGGCCACCAATGGTTCAATGTTTGCCATATTGGTTGGCTGGCGCTGCGATTAATGTTCGTTATCTTTTAGCTACTATAACTCACAATAAAAGCAAGACCGACAGTGTGATACCCTTATGAGTATAAGTCGATGTCGTTTCCTAAACACTCCCGTACTAAATATAATAGTAAACTGAAATAGAGTCAGACCATGCTGGGACTGACCAAATGGTATAAACTAGCAGTGCAAAAATCTTTCGCCGGATTCCAGCAAATAAATGCATTAAAAATCGTTTCTTACTGTTAAATCAATAAGTATAGTACTAAGTTTGAATTTGGTTAACAAGTTTTTCAGAAACTGAATAATTTGTTATATTGCTTCCCCAGACTCCACTTTCAGAACACAAACATTACAATTAGTTATCCAGAAAAGTTCCTAACCAAAAGTTGTAGCTTTTTATCTAAACAATTCCTTTTTTAATATTCTAATATTTTCGAATATTCCACAGAATCTCAAATAGATCAGTTGATTGATTTCCTATTTTCATATCCCATTTTTATGATTGGTCCCATTCTTTCGAGAATTCAGTAATTCGGTAATGCATAGTCACTGGGGTAACTGGTGTCAGTAAATGCAGCCACGAACATCCCAAGATGGCATTAGTGAAACATTATTTCAATAAATTAGCAACAATAAGCATTCATTCTTATAGGATTTGAAAAAAAATTATACGCGTATATCTAGAAAGGATGCAATAACGGAATGTATATCTAGTGCATGCAGAGGTTTCCATTAAGTAAAGAATTCAACCGTTAAAAAGTCGGTGACGATGTCCGTAAAGTAAATAATATATATATATATAGAACGTTGTTTTCAATTTAGACTTGTTTATATATATATATATATATATATTCAATAATGTCCAAGTTTTGTCTGTAACTGATTTTTTCAAAACTCGTTACTTATGCGTATGCAGACTGCTCGAAAAACCATTAAAAATTATCATTACAATGGGGGAAAATGTAGCTTAGGAAAATTGTACATTCCGAACAAATATCCCTTTAAAGGTCGACTGAAAAAATGCACGAATTTGAAAGTCATCTGAATAAAAGATAAGACAGTTATCATGATTGAACCCTAAAACATTAGAAGTCTAAATATTAATCATATCAGCAAGAACAGTAAGTCAAAGCCGTAGGTGCGACACATTAGCCGACAGCGTACAAGTATTTACTGCTTCTCACTAAAGACAGCGACTTTAACGTTACTCGATGTGTCGGTGACTGTACAAAACAGGAACATGAAATATACATATCTCATTAAGGTTGTCTTGTCCCGAAACATTCGTGTAATATTTGCCGTATGTCGGCCCTTCGTTTGGTTATATTAAATTCTGTCAGTTTATTTGACTCTCAGTTGCTCCTGTGTCCCTTAGCTGCGGAACCGTAGCTCATAGGTCCTTATGTAGGTCCGCAAATTGTCAAACAATATCATCTTAGCTGCGGAAACGTAGCTTATAGGTCTGCATGGTCCTTATGATATTTTTTGACAATTTGCGGACCATAGGTCCCATAGGTCCGCAAATTGTCGAAAAATATCATCTTAGCTGCGGATACGTAGCTCATAGGTCCTTATGTAGGTCCGCAAATTGTCAAAAAATACCATCTTAGCTGCGGAAACGTAGCTTATAGGTCTGCATGGTCCTTATGATATTTTTTGACAATTTGCGGACCATAGGTCCCATAGGTCCGCAAATTGTCAAAAAATATCATCTTAGCTGAGGATACGTAGTTCATAGGTCCTTATGCTATTTTTTGACCATATGTCCGCAAATTGTCAAAAACTATCATAAGGACCTACGACCTACGGTTCCGCAGCTACTGTGTTGTGTTCCTCTCCGTGAAAGCGCTACGTAATATTACGTGACATCTGAAATGTACGGGAAAATGAACGATCGTGAAAACAAGCCGCGGTCGTGCGCACGGAAATATAAACTATATATATGTATCATACGTTTCATGTGTGTTTTCTTTCTATCATAGAAATTACATTAGGCAAACGAAAAAAACAACAACTTGCAATTCTAGATTTTATGCATTTTTTACAATGACTATACGAAGTCCATTTTATGAACGAGATAACGTTGATCATGCTATAGCGGCAAACTGGTTTGTTTTTTTGATTATTTTCGGGGTAACACCTAAAATGACCGGAAGCAAATAAGATAGAATTCCTCCCCACTTATAAAATTACTATAGTCACGGCGTTTCTGTGACATTTTTACTGAGGCATCCCTTTGACGAGTTTGTATGATGTCTGGCCTTGATTGGCTTGAAACTCGGGTAACTGATATGGGTTGCCGCTGGGGTTCTGTTACCACAACCTTTTCATATAATTTAGATTTTTGAAATGTATACCTTTCATATATTGGGAGAATCACATTCCGGCATAATCGACGAAATATCACCTGTGCTCGAAGTTCAGATTCCTTATGAAGTTATGTAACGTTTACTTACGGCGAGACTTTCGGCTGTGAAAAACTTAAGGGCTTTTCATATTCATACTCTTAGTAAATTACTAATGGGAACTTTATTGACCTTATCATATATTTCTGATAGTTTTCCATACCTATTCACATATTTTCAAGCTGGAAAATGTGACCTATTCGAGTAATATTCCAGCGGCAACGACCTATCACCCTGTATGAAAGCCTATATTAATTGTGGTTCTCAGCAAAGAATTAAAATAACGTCATAATTATTTGGACTAGAATAGATAAAGTCCAGGCTGACAATATTGTATCACTAGCAGCTATTAAACCAACTTAAACTCAGCACCAGTGATTGCTCTACTCAATGACCATGTGTCGATAGACTCACCTGCAAAATTACTGAGTTTTGATTTACAAATTTTTGACCTATGCAGATTCATTGCTGATATATTTCAGTCATCATCATGACTGTCGACATTAATTTAACGAAGAGCAGTTTTTTTTACATTGCTTACCTGTCAAATAAAAAGATATCTTAATTCCGATGCTCAATACTTTCAACTGCAGACGAATATTCGAATGAACAGAGATAAATTCAGTGTTCAAAATAAAATCCAAATGAGGTTCTTGTAAACTGAATATTTAAAAATCGGACTAATTTAGTGTCTCCACTTAATAAAAATTACTAGTCAATTTTAAGAGACCACTTATGTAACAAATTAAACCATGAACTAAGAAAAATGCAGACCACTACGGAACCTAACCTTCAACCATCAGCGGAATGAAAACAAATGCAAGGATACACTCAGCATCAGTAATGTATGAAATACGTCAGAACCCCATCAACATATTCAATAAGTCTTTAAGTGTGGCCATAGGCTTAATTAACATTAACTATTTCAACAATTCTATTGATTTTTATAATTAAGGAAAGAAGTGAAACTACCGAGATTCATGGATTATTTTGACTTGCGTAAGATTATTGATATGAGAAAACATTCTCTCTCCACTGCAGACACATGTGTGGCGGGAAGGTTTACAAAATGTTAATTAAAGGGTTATTAGGAAAGCTTTTCCGTCCTGAAGGTTTATGAATTGTAAGATTGGTTGATGATTCCTTCCTACACACCAAAATTCACTCACACTTTGTCGAGGAACATGCATCGCCGAAATTTTTTTATGACGACAGAATGACATCTGACCTCGTCACGCTGTAGCGCACTTGTGAACTGTGGGTAATAAGTATGGCCGACAAGAAGTGCGATTCTGGTTTGTTTACAGTTGCTTAGAAGCAGTTAAACCTCATTTGAAACTTTTTAATGCTTTAGACTGTGTTTCACTGTTCAACTTGACAAAAGCGATAGTAAATTGCTTGCAACAAAAACATTGCATAGTAACATTTAATAAAACTTACAGATATAAGATAAATGCGTTAAACTGCTGAAAAGGGGGAGGGATTTACATTGTCATTGAAATTGTAGTGCTCACTGTGAGAAATTGATTTACTGGTTTTGCATCAGTCTAAAATGGCTTCATAATTACAAAATAAGCACAGATAGAAGTCAAAATCCCTTGTCACATTTTAATTTATACTGATTTTACCACGGGTTGGCCCTATAATTTTTTATGCTAAATATTTTACCCCGAGTGCGATAGCGAGGGGTAAAATATTTGCAATAAAGGACAAAGTTGTGGTAAAATTAGAATACATTTAAGCCTCAATGAATTATTTCTATTCTAATAGGATTTTGGATCGAAACGCTCTAGGTGAAGGCAAACATTTGCTGTACCCGTCATTAAACACACTATTAATATTGATGTAAAAGAATAGAGAAAACTGCACTATACACCTTATCGCTATTTGTCCGCCATTACTGGACATCACACAGGTTCCCCTAAAATTTCAACGTCACAGTAGAAAATAACTGATGCCACAATGGAAAAAGTGATTGTTGTATGACGTCAAAAGTTCAACCAGCGCAGATTTCCAAATAGCAAAAAGGTCTATTGACATGCTTAAACTATTTACAATAACGTACTTAGATAGTTTTGGATGAATTTAAATGATAATCTTATATGTAAAAAAAAATTGGCTTTTAACAAATTTTATTATCGTTTGTTTATGTTTCCTTGATGAATTTCAGTTTCACAACCGTGCATTTTCCGGTAAAATGCTTATATTCTTACGTAGCTCATTCATAAAAAAACTTATGACGTGGGAGTATGAATGGAACTGCCCAAACAAATCTTGACGTTGGCGATCAGCTGACATACAATATATTCATATTTTACTACGGGTGTGTACTCAAAGCACTTGAAGAATGTCATATAAGAATTAAAATCTAAAGAGGCCTGAAGTAAATATATACTACAGGCCAATAGAATCTATACAACATTTCGGATTTAATTTTCCCCAAAAAATGGACGTCTTCTCTTTTCACAAAATATCCTACGATAAAAATTTAACGTAAATTATACTGAAACAGTTCACTAAAACCAGTAGTGTAACAACTAAGTTAAACAAACTTGAATGGCCAACACTTGCAGAGCACCGCCTAAAGACCCGACTTATCATATTTACCAAATTGTACACAGGCTAAATGCATTACCATCACTAGCACTAATTCCAACAGACACTAGAACTAGAAAAACACACAACCAAACACTTTGGTAAATCTCTACTACAAAAGAAAGTTTTAAATGGTATTTTTTTCCTCATACAAAATAATACCAATAGTTAAGAGGAAAATGATACCACAAGTTGTTATAGAATGTCCAACAATTGAATCCTTCAGAGAACCGTTGACACCAACTGTTCTCTACAACACAATTACAAACTAGCTGTATAAATATGATATCAATGTAAATAATTTTAAATCACTTTAATTCTTGATTACTTACATTGTACATAGTCACAGCAAAGTAAATTCTCAAAATTTAAATTATTAGTGTTTTGTACTTTTCATGGATATATTTTTATTTACATTCCCCAGGCCGCAATTAAAAATATCTTTGTTTCCCCTTACCCTACCCACCATTTTGGAAGTGGGTAGGTAGGTAGGCTTTTTTTTTTTTTTTTTTTAGAGAAAATCCCTGAAATATATCTAACACACAGGAAAACACAGAAAAAAAAACAAATTGAACTTTATTGATACTAAAACAACATACTGTATAATGTATTATCATGATTATGCATGACTAGAAGACCCTACAATTGCAGACTAGAAAATGTTTGTAAATATCAATGTCTTTGTGACTTAGAGTAGACCACATATAAATTGAGACACGGTTCTATATTTTTCTTATAGTTTTATTAATTCAATTGAAAATATAAAACCCCAACGAGACTGCTACCTAGAAACATTCGATGCAAAAAATATGTACACTTGTTTTTCATTTAAGGAAATACTAGAAGCCACAAACCGTGATCCAAGCGAGTATGACTACGCCTATTAAGGCTTATTCTAGAAAACTATGAATTTATTTTTAACAATAAACTTTACCATGAAACCTTGGGCGTGCCTATGTGCGGATCAGCATTCGCTGAGTTAGCAGGCCTTAAAATGTTTGTTAATTCTTGAACACATTTTACAACGCTTTCAACACAGAGAAACAAAATGATAATGATAGTTGAAGTTCACTTACGAATTTTCCTGTAATGAAATAATATTCTTAGACACTGTCATAATTATACAAAGGAGAAAGATTCTTTAACGAAGGCATAGTATGATACAAGACATTAAAACCAATATCAAACCAACTGAAACATATCAATATCTGCACAGACACTGCTCACACCCAAAAAGTGTTTTCATTGAAAGGATTTATCAAGGGTGAAGTATTGAGGTATCTCAGAAACACAAGCAGCAAAACTGATCTTAAAAAAACAGTAAGAAGCTCAAACGAGGATATCAAATATCTGAAATCAACGATTTTTTTTATCAAACACAAAATACAGAAAGGGAAAACTTGCTAACACATTGCCCAGCGAAACGGGAGCAACCGCTAGTAGTGTTAACAAAATTCAACCCATCTATACAGAAACTAAAAATATAATAATGAAACACTGGCATCTTATTTCACAAAACCCTGAACATGTGACCATATTTAATCATCAGCCCATTATAGCTTATAAAAGACATAAGAACTTACAAGAACTTTTATCAAAGCATTAGCTGGTATAGTCATCTCAACTTTTCACAACACAATATGATACTGAGCTCGAAAAAAATCAACTACTATTTTATCCAAAGACAACTAGTGTATGGTCCAATATCACATACGAAATGAAACAAAATAGCATAAATAGCACGCCAATATACAACTTATTGAGTCGCCCACTGATAAAGACGAACTCAGGGATTTACCACAAACACGGCAGAATTTCAGAAACACCGGGTCTAACATTTTAGCTCAAGGGTGAGCTCGGATGTGCAATCGTAACTTCTCGGCCATTCTCGATACGCATTTTGTTATTGGAGGCGTAGCTAGAATGGAAGAGTAGTTAAGATTGCTCGGATGCATTTATTAAAAACATTATTCCATTCCAATTTCAGTATCCTTGCATACGTAGTTTACCCTTTGCTGCAAACACACGGGCGACAATGATTTCGCGGAATGTTGAAAATACGGACCATTCAAGGAAACGAATTTAAAAAACGAACTTTTGAGCGAAACGAAAAAAAAAACAACAACATGATTTTCGAAAAAAATTATTTCAGTCGGCGGATTTTTAGTGGGTCGGTCGGGTAAGGGGAAACAAACTTAATTTTAATTTTGGCCCCATGCATACAAACAGTACATAATCTTCAATGTTACAAAATTGATTTGAAGGATCAACTATTCAACAGTCTTCACAAAAAACTTTTTGGATTTTAAAGTAGAAGCCCAAAAATCAGTATTTCATAAAATTTCTTTAAATGATATGGCCTGTGAGGCCATTTTACTGGCCCATTAACATTTTTACTGTCCTGGGTCATAGTGCTTGTAAGTTTTGTCTATTACAAAAATGTATCTTGAAGACTGCTATAAATAGAGATAATCTTTGACAAAAATGTTCAAAATGTTGAGATTCACCTCCTTTCCTTTTACAATAAAATCAAATGCTGTCAGACGACTTCTAATAGGAGTTATTGTCCTTAAATGACTTATTTTTCCATTTTTTGTTTAGCCTGTGACAGAAGTTGCAGAATGCTAGACATAGGGATTACTCTCCAGCGGCAGCTTAAACTATTTGTATAAAGCTTTATATTTTAGAAGATAGAAGACCTGGATGTTGCATACCTTGTATGCAGATACCTTATGTTACGAAGTTTCGTCTATCGTACATTCATTGTCCTTGACCTCTTTTCCATGGCTCAGGGACTGCTTGAAAATTAAAAAAAAAACGTGAATTTCTCACAACAAGAGTAATAGGATAACTATATTTTGTATACTGGTTCCTTGCAACATGTACATTCGTTAGACAGCATTCACCTGACCTCGACCTCATTTCATGGATCAGTGATCAAGGTTAAAGTTATGTGATTAGATTGGTTTCTAAGATACTATAAACATTAGGTCAATTATATGTGGTGTATGGAATGATTGTAAGGAGAACATGTCAGTCTGGCAGGTTTCATCTGACCTTGACCTCATTTTCATGATTAATTAGACTAAATTAGTCAATGTTGAGTTTTTGTGTTTTGGTTCTTTTCAGATACTATAAGTAATAAAGCCTAGTTATATTTGGTGTATGGAATGATTGTAAGGTGTACTTGTCTGTCTGGCAGGTTTCATCTGACCTTGACCTCATTTTCATGGTTCATTGGTCAATATTTAGTTCTCCTGGTTAAGTCTGTTTCTTAGATACTAAAAGCAATAGGTCAACTACATTTGGTGCATGGAATGATTGTAAGGGGTACATGTCTGTCTGTCATGTTCCATTTGATCTTGACCTACTTTTCATGGTTCCTAGTTAAGTCTGCTTCTTATATACTTTAAGCAATAGGTTTAATCTATTTGGTGAATGGAATGATTGTAAGGTGTAGATGTTTGTCGTGTATCATCTGACCTTGACCTCAATTTATTGGTTCATTGTTCAATGTTTACTTTTCCTGGTTTGGTTTGTTTCTTTGATACTATAAGCGAATGTTTTCTATATTTAGTGTATGGAATGATTGTAAGATGAATAATTCAATATAGATAGAAATAAGGAGATGTAGTATGATTGCCAATAAGACAACTATCCACCAGAGCTCAAATGAAGTGGATGTAAGCAATTATAGGCAATTTACGGCCTTTAACAATGAGAAAAACCCGTACAGTATAGTCGCTATAAAAGGTCCTGACTTGAAAAATGTGAAACAATTCAAACGAGAAATCCAATGGCCTAAATTATAACACAACAAATTACAAAAAAAAAACAAATTTGACAGACATGGACCAACAACAACCACTGAACTACAGGCTCCCTACATGGGACAGGCATATAAAGAATGTTGTCTGTCTGCAAAGCTTAATCTGACCTGGACCTTATTGATCATTGATGTTATCAGCTATCTGGGGCCCTGTTTAAACAATGTATTGTGCAAATTTTTTTTCAAAGAGAAATGTTTAAATCATCGTAAACACTTCAAACAAAGCATTTTTATGACTAATTTGTGTTTCAAAAAAGTGGACCATAATCTATCAAAATTTCAAAATGTTCACTTTCTAAACTTTTTCCATCCTCAGCTCATTACTGATGACCTTTTTTTTTGTGACACTTAACACAAACAGGAAGGTGTTTGAGTGACTTTTTTTCTGGATTGGACTAATTAGAGATAAGGTATATTGTCCTATTATAACGATTTTTAGCATTTTTTGTTTTTTTTGTTTAATATCTTAATGGCTATAATAGATAGATAGAAACTTTAAAAAGCCAAAATTATAAGTTGGACAAGATCTACAAATAAGTCTTAATACAGAAATTGTCGATTGATGCCATTAGGAGTTATTGCTCTTCAATGATGAATTTTACCAATTTTTAGTGTTTTTGTCTATTATCTTGAAAACTATTACAGACTATACTATAATGAACACTTTAAATAGGGAAAATGATCAGCAAGACAGGATTTATAAATAAGTCACAATGGCCAAAATAGTCATTCAACTCCTTATTGGAGCTCTTGCTCTTTAATGACAATTTTTAGCATTTTTGTATATTACTTTGAAAACAATGAAAGATAGAAATACCTTTTAAAACAAAAATGATCATATGTCAAATTTTTGATGAAATTGTTAGTAGACTCTTTTAATATAGGAATGGTTGCCCTTAATGACAATTTTTAACCTTTTTTGTGTTTTGGGCAAAAACTAAGGAAGAAAGAGAGAAACTGTAAACAGAAAAAATGATATACAATACAAGATCAACAAAAAAGAGATTTTAGTCATGAATTCTAATCTAGTCTACAATGTTGGAGACTGTCCATTGTTGAGGATGCACATAGACCTAGGTGAGCGACAAATGCTCTTTAGAGCCTCTAGTTTAGTGTTTTTACCATTGATGCTCCTCACTTCTATATAGCAACACTGGTCTGATCAAACAAACATGGATATATGAAAGTGTATTTAATTTAGGTTTATATAAATCAACATTTTTTTTTTAACTACAGGGGATGAATATTTTAACCAGAATTAAATTTTTTTTGCAGGAAGTGAATCTGACAGCACTGAAGAACCAGTAGTTGGAAATGTGAACAAGTTTGCTGTTGTCCCACCTGGTTATAATGGTCGGCCAAAGAAAGGGCATATGATATTTGATGCCTGCTTTGAATGTGGTATGACTACAGTTTACATGTCAATGATGAACACAGGGTGTTTTTGTGGTTTGCTGATTAACTAATGTTAGATAATGAGTTGAATTTTGGTTAAAAAGTAGAGCAAAATGGAAGTCGTTTAGTTTGGTTTGTAAAGAAATTCAGTTTGGAATAAACTTTGATCTGTGTGTTTAATTTTCCTATAGTCTTGATATAGACATCTTCATTCTTTTCTAGATCATCCTGAAAAATTTCATTTTTTAAACGATTTGCAGATGCCAAATTTTGAAGATAGTATTGTAAAATTAAAAATTTAATCTGGTAATGAAAGGAGATTGATAGCTTATAAGATATACAGTGGTAAAGGTCAAGAAAACTGTGTTTTATAGTGACATACATTGAACAAGTTATAGCACACGATTTATGTATATGAATTAATAGATTTAATGTATGAAAAGTGTAGCTTTGAGTGCATTAAATATGTTCATGAGTAAGGCTTGACTATATACATGTATGAGCTATGATATTAATGGGCAATGACAATGTTAAAGGTTAAATGCTGACCAATGTAAAACAGCTGTGCTTTTCAGGATTAAATATGTCAATTTACTAATGGCACTCTTATACACAACTGTCTTTTATTATTAGGTATTGACCACTGTGCATATGTTTTCAAAGGGGATTCATATTATAGATGCATGCATGATGTAAATGAATTTGTTGCATTTTTACTGAAGTTTGCAGACGGATTGCTTTTATGTCATATATTGAAAAGTGTTCCTTCCCCGCAAATTCTTGTGGGAAAGATCCAAAACAACTGCTACTACATAATGACAATATATACGTTTAATTAATAAAAAATACCACAATCTGCCATGGTGACATTTATTACCTATTCTGCTATTAAGGTGTTTTTTTATAAAGAAGTATTTATGGTATACCTCTGAGATAGTTGGTATCAAGGTTGATGTCGACATGATATACTGTGCGATGCATTTTCACATCCATAGCTCATCAAATTTAAGTTTACCAAATTTTTAAAGCAGGGCATCATTGCTCATTTCAACTTGATAAATTATATTCACAATCCATTTTTTATTTTCCAGGTAATTTAGGAAGAGTTGATTACATCACAGAGTATGAGTATGATTTGTTTATTAGACCAGATACTTGTAACCCAAGGTTTAGAGTCTGGTTTAATTTCACAGTGGAGAATGTCAAAGCAGATCAGGTCAATTTTTATACAATTTAGAACTTTGTATGTATTTATCAAGAATAGGCTTTGTTTGACAAACAGTTAAACAAATTTATTGGAAGATACAAAGGGGTCATTCAAAACTTATTAGTTGAGAGAAATTGACAACACCATGGCAAAAAAAGACAGTCAGCGACATAAGTTCACAAAACACTAGACTGAGCAACACGAACCCCACAAAAACTTGAGGTGATCTCAGGTGTTCTGTAATGGAAACCAGATCCTGCTCCACTAAACTTGGTTGATCTCTCGTGTTCTGTAATTGTAACCAGATCCTGCTCCACTAAACTTGGTTGATCTCAGGGTGTTCTGTAATGGTAACCAGATCCTGCTCCACTAAACTTGGTTGATCTCTCGTGTTCTGTAATTGTAACCAGATCCTGCTCCACTAAGCTTGGGTGATCTCAGTGTGTTCTGTAATGGTAACCAGATCCTGCTCCACTAAACTTGGTTGATCTCAGGTGTTCTGTAAAGGTAACCAGATCCTGCTCCGCTAAACTTGGTTGATCTCAGGGTGTTCTGTAAAGGTAACCAGATCCTGCTCCACTAAACTTGGGTGATCTCTGAGGTGTTCTGTAAAGGTAACCAGATCCTGCTCCACTAAACTTGGTTGATCTTAGGTGTTCTGTAAAGGTAACCAGATCCTGCTCCACTAAACTTGGTTGATCTCAGGGTTTTCTGTAAAGGTAACCAGATCCTGCTCCACTAAACTTGGTTGATCTCAGGGTGTTCTGTAAAGGTAACCAGATCCTGCTCCACTAAACTTTGGTGATCTCAGGGTGTTCTGTAATGGTAACCAGATCCTGCTCCACTAAACTTGGGTGATCTCAGGGTGTTCTGTAATGGTAACCAGATCCTGCTCCACTAAACTTGGTTGATCTCTGAGGTGTTCTGTAAAGGTAACCAGATCCTGCTCCACTAAACTTGGTTGATCTTAGGTGTTCTGTAAAGGTAACCAGATCCTGCTCCACTAAACTTGGTTGATCTCAGGGTTTTCTGTAAAGGTAACCAGATCCTGCTCCACTAAACTTGGGTGATCTCAGGGTGTTCTGTAATGGTAACCAGATCCTGCTCCACTACTGGCATCCATCTTATTATATTTTATGGATAACTGATATACTTATTGGATATTTATTCCTAATTTTTTGGGGAATTAATTCTTCCCAGGGATAATCATGTTGAATGTTATGAATATATATGGGATATTACACAGCAGATATATGACATTTTTATTTTCCTTTAAAGTGTTGCTTAATGAATTAGTGCAGATATGCAGATTTTAGGGTTTATCCATGTTTTCCCTATACCTTGTGCATTTAAACTGGATCTGACCAGTTAGAAGTATTTTTTAAAAATTATGTAAATTCGAAACAAAACATAATTGAAGATATCGATTAAAAAAATCATAAATAAGAGGGCGTTATGGAGTTATCTATATCAATATAACAATTTCATCATTCTTGTATTAATACAAAAATTGAAATTTGCCTTTAGAGAGAGAGGGAGGGAGAAAAAAGGATTAAAACATGAATCAAAGGATTCAATGTTAAGGAAAAGTTTATTACAAAAATGGAATGCAAGGTTGATTTTGAATTGTTTCAATAAAAGTGTGATAAGGGGGATAACCCAATTCCAGTTAATAAAGTTTTCTATTTTCAGAGAGCAATATTTAATATTGTTAACTTCAGCAAAACAAAATCTTTATACAGAGAAGGTATGTCACCTCTAGTCAAGTCTACAAGTAGACCAAAATGGTGAGTTCAGAATAAAACAAAAGAAAAAGTACCAGCAACACACTGCAGTTATCATATATAGAACAAACAGACATATCAAGTTTGAATATTTATACATTGTATACACCATATGAAGAAGTTGGTAAAGAGAGTTTTAAACAAAGCTTATGGCAAAATAAATATAGATTACATAGAGTCAAATTCAATATTGACTAGATGTTGATAAAATGGTTTTGTGGTTGTCTGTTGGATATGAGATGTCTAAATTGCTGTTGCTATGTTTTAACAATATTTCCTGTATCCCAATGGTCCATATGGAATGTCACTTTAGATAATAGGAGTATTTCAGGGAGTTTCATTATAGCTTATACAATAATTAACACAAATAAAACATGTCAGATCTGTTAGAAAATTAAAAACATTTGGCAAATAGATGTAAGAAATAATTTACTCCATGGATTAAGTCTTTAGATTTATAAATAACAATACAACACATAACAAAGTATTTGTTTACAGGTAAACATGTACTACAGGTATTTGAGTATCCTTGTCTCTCATTTAATACAGTTCTCCCCAGGGCCTTATAGTATCATTGTACCATAGTTCTTTCAGAATAGATTTTATATAATAGAATTTATTGTGAATGTGGTGTCATAGTTATGGGAAAACGGTGCTATTTTAGATCCCATTAGAATAATAATAAAATTCTTGGGAAAACACTGTCTATATAATGCAATGTTTCAACTTTCAAGCCAAAATGATCTTCTGCTTGGTCCATCAACATGAAAAATAAAGTTGAAAAGCCACACCTTTATATAAGATGCATAGAAACTTTATGTAGAAAAAAATGATTTGTAATGAGAAATTAAATGTAAAATATTATGTGTCACTTAAAATATATACAAAAAACTCCATATTGCGATCTACAGAAGAGATGATTCATCTTCCACTGTTGAAACTTATTTTGAGAAGGCGCATCTTTTAGAAGAGGACTGGCGAAAGACATGTTGCACTTTTCTCTCAATTTTTTTTTTTGCATGGGTAGAAATTATATGAAAAATAAAAAGTAAAAACATAGATTTTTTTTCTGCACTACAAATAATGTGCTATAAATGTCTTGTTTTTTTTTCAGGGTGAGAATACCTGCCAAGCACGTCTATTACTACAGATGTCCAGACCACAGAAAGAATTATGTCATGTCATTTTCATTTTGCTTTGACAAGGAAGATGATATTTACCAGTTTGCCTATTGTTATCCCTACTCTTATACTCGACTACAGAATTATCTAGACAATTTAGAAAAAAAGAATATGGATTTTTTCACCAGAGAATTGTTATGCCTGACAGTGGTTTGTATAATTTTCATGGGGAAACCAATATCATAGTATATACTAACATGATTAATAAATTTACATCCAAGAACCACAATGCAGTAATAAAATCATTGGGGAGAAATACATTTGTTTGCCTTAAGTTTAATTTTTGTAATAGATCTGAATTCTGCCCACCAAATGATTGTCAACTGATGAGCATATCTTCGATATTTTTTACTGTGGATTCAATTGTGGGATACCAAACTCTATTGAGTAAGTAGTTTCGGAAAACTCAAATTTATATAGTTGATGAAATACAAAGTTTTAGTTACTTTCAGAAACTTTGTAGATAATTAGGACATACTACAGTACGGGTAGAGACTTATTACTATAAATAACGGACTGGGACATGTCGGAAATGAATAATCCGACTTTTTTATGGTAGGTAGTATGGTCATTAATCAACAGATCCAGGTGTGAACGGTAATATAATTGTCCTTTCATCTCAATCCGTGCTACTAGATTATTACGCTTCACTGATTTCAAAATCAGGTTACCTGTGATTTAAACCTCTCAGCCACTTTATTGATTAGTTCTACATCGTATTTGACATAAAATATTTTTACAGGTGAAGTACTGGAGACAACTTTGTTTTAATAAAAAATAGCCTATTTTTTTAATTATGGCTTTTTATATTTCAAATGCTGTATTTATTCCTCAAAATATTATTTTCTATGTTCCCTTGTATTTTTTTTGTTATATATCTTTTTCGTATTTGTTGGCATACAGTTTTTAAAATATTTTCTTTTTTATTTCTGGAAGGTTATTTTTGTTTTACTGATTTATTTTCCACGTAAACCCATTGATTAGCAGAATGATGTGCAAAGTGCTGCTGTATACGTTTTAGTTTGACAACACTACAATTGTATTTAATTTTCAGTCTGCGTTGGGTCAGTTCTGAAATAAAAATAATTACACTGAGCAATACTTGTATACTAGTAGTTTGGTGATTCTTTATAATTGTGAATTTACTTTTTACTGTAAACAAATATTGTCCGAAAGTTGGTGATATATAACTAAAGTAGTACGCAAATAATAACACTAGAAGAAGATATCGATTCTTCTCGGGAATTAGGTTTATTTTGATATTTCTGTGTTTGTTAAATATGCATGAAATAATTGCCACTGACATGAAATGGACATTAAAACTAGAAGCATTCAATCGTTTGATGACCAGTTAATTAAATATTTACTATGATTTGTAGTCTAAAGAAATGCAATTACTCCTATTTAAATAATTTTATGGTGCTGCATTGACTCTTAATTGCATAATATTAATTTACGCACAATGCATGTTAACTTGTTTGTTGTATTTTTGACACCAATCTAAAAAAAATATTTGCCGTGAAAAGACAATTGCATGATACACATATCAGTGATCAACAGCATGTGGTTGAACTTTGAACTTGACTTCACTCACAATACAATGTTGAATGCTAAAAATAGCTGGGATTAATTTTGTCAAATGCACGTGATTTTCATATGGCGGGAAATATCGTAACAGTTAACACAGGTGACCTTACTGACCGACCGTGGGAAAATCTATTCATGATTTAATTTGATACGTAATGATTGGCAGTATTGTGCGTTAGTTTTGAGGCTCTTTATCAAGATCCATTAATAATTGATTTACCAGAATAGAAAATTTAATCCTTGTAATTATAAACAAAACAAGCTTTTGTCTTCTTTAACTATTTTATTTATTATATTTATCAGTCAACACCCAGATTCCTATTTAAATAATTTATTCGGACACCTCCTTTAAAGTTCGGGAATTATACAATTTAAACTGCCGACATCGATTTACAAAATCTTACTGACTGCACGAACTTTAGAGAATGGCTAGAAATACGACGCAAAAGTAAAGACGGCTGATCATGAATAGTGTAAAACTTTGATCTTCGTGTATTGATTGACACAATTCGTAAAATATGTTTATAAAAAACACGATTTTCATTCAAATTTCAAACATTGAAATAGAAAGGCAATATCTTTGTTATAATACAACGAGTGTCAACAAATCTGTTATTTCCATTATATGTAAATTTATTAACAAACAAAATTTAAAATAATGTTGAGTCATAGAATATTGACGTGCATATGAAAAGTTTTTATTATATAAAAACTAGGATTCGAAAGATGATGACGGCGTTATAAATATTGTAAAAAAAAACCAATTGTTTCAAAGAGATTAACGGGAAATATATGTCAAAATAGAAAGCACGGATGATCTGGCTGACCAAATTGTTTTACTTGCGAGAAATGCTTGACAGGTATGAATAGACGTAGAGGCTCCGACGGGGAACGTGGTATCGAAAGGAAAATAACAGTTTATTCACAATGCCTATATTCAATTTGTTTATATACTTTATAAATATGATATGTTGACCTTATACTTAAAATTGTGTTTCTATTAATAACATAAAGGAACAGGACGTTAAAAGGGGGAAATATTGTAACCATCAACGAAAACTCGTATAATTTACGGGATTGATGTCTCAACATTTTGATTAAAACTTCGATTGAAAACAGTCCTGGTTGTTATAATTTTGAATAAAATGAAATATTTACGGTTTACAAATACAAATAGTTTATTGGCACAAACACAATTATTATAATTGGCAAAACATTTTTACAGTACATTGTTAAAAATCGTCTTTCTTTCATTTTCATGTTAAAAAAAGTTGATCCCATATTCATATTAAATTTTTATTTTTATTGTAATTTTTTCTTTGAATACAAAACAATATTTTACATTTATTATCTATCCTCCATAAATACTAAAATATCTGTACAGGTAAAATTTAATTCTAATCAAGCTGATACAGATTGATTTACGACCTTCCACTCGGATATTGTACAGGTTAATATCACAGCAGGTGTTAATTACACTGAGACAACTGTCCCGCCAGTCTGACATCTAGACGGATTAAGACATCCATAATAATAAGTCTCTACCCGTACTGTATGTCAATGTGCATATCGACAGGAAATTATGATTCAATTTTTTTTCTAGTAGTAATGACCATATTAACTTATAATTTTGGCCTAAGTATACTACAATGTACTGCAAAATTTTGTCATCAAAACTCCTCTAAAACCACAAAATATAATTTCATGAAATGTTGTAGTTAATGAGGACATAATATGTAGATGCGCATAACTGCAAGAAATTTTTATCAGTTAACTTTTGGAGGAGTTATGAGTCTTTGAACTAAGGAATCTAGTGAAATTTTGTTTGCCATGTGACAATGTGGGGGCATGGAATATGTTAGCATGCTCACAAAGGTTCTTTAATTTGCAATATATTGTTACTGTGCAGTCATCAGGCTTAAATTAGATAACTTGCTACAACATTTTACCCATTATTATGTTATTATGCCACGCCTACGATAGTTACAGGGGCTTTATGCTTTCTGATCTTCATGGGAAAGTATTGGGTGATGGTAGTTTACCATGAAGTTGTGGTCACATTATCTTGAAACTTAGTGCACATGTTCATTATGATGTGAACGTTTAGAAACATACCCAATTAGGGTCTTACGTTTATTGGTTTGAGTAAACTTTTGTATTAATGGTAAACTTGACAAAGTTGGGATTTAAAGAGATTATCTCACAAACTTAATTACAAGCTTGCAAAGCAAATCAAGTGCACTTGGCCATTTTTGAAAAAAAGTCAGAAATTGGTTTGAAAATTTAAGATATTTTATAATATTGTATTACAGCAACAAAGAAGATTAGATATGATCACAATCACAAATCCAGATAATTTAGATCCTGAGGAAACAAAGAGAGTTGTGTATGTAACAGCCAGGGTTCACCCTGGAGAAACACCTGCATCTTATGTATGTCAGGGTATGTAAATATAACAAATCATTTCTACAATATCATCCTCTATGAATGGGTATGTAAATATAAAAAATCATTTCTACACTATCATCTTATGTAAATATAACAATTAGGATCATTTCTACACTATCATCCTCTGTATGACTGGTTAAGGTTATACAAAAGCAAGGATAAATATTAATATTTTATATGTTGAGGTTGTATTAAGGGATGAGATTCATGAGAGACAATTTAATCAAACATATGAAATCTTCTCCATATTACTAAACACATAATTTTAGCTTATGATATATAATAGAGTATATGTTAGTTGTTATATTTATTTTGTTGCAATAAAAATACTGTAGAATTAAAAATATTTCTGTCCTGTGGTATTATATTTTGTTAAAGAAAGTTGTATTTTAGCCTATGATATAATAGAAGAAAGACAAAAGATACCAAAGGGACATTCAAACTCATAAGTTGAAAATAAACTGACAATGTCATGGCTAAAAAAGAAAAAGACCAACAAACAAACAATAGTACGCAAAACACATAGAAACTTAAAGACTGAGCAACACAAACCCCACCAAAGACGGGGGTGATCTCAGGTGCTTGGGAAGGGTAAGCAGATCCTGCTTCACATGTGGCACCCGTTGTGTTATGTTTTATACACATATGCAAACTTATTTTATCAATATACAAATTACAATAATATTAAGCTAAACATTATGTGTTTTATTTATTTTGGTTTTTTTCAGGAGTAATAGACTTTTTAATCAGCAATCATCCTATAGCAAAAGTACTCAGGGAACACATTGTATTTAAAATAGTTCCAATGTTAAATCCAGATGGTGTTTACTTAGGAAACTATAGGTAAGAGACCTAATCTTCTCTTAGTGTGTTGAATTAATCATAAATGTAATTTAATTTTCTGATACTTCATATTGTAAATTTATCAATAATCTTTTTTTTTGGGGGGGAAAGGGGGGGGGGTATAGGAATCACCTGTTCGTCCATCCCTCTGTCTGATTTCCCATGTGCCTTGTAAGTGCTACTACCATTATCTACTGGATGGATATTAATTAAACTTTACTCAATTGTAAATCAATAACTTAGGATGTGCATAAAGGAAAATAATCCCTGTCCAATGTCTTCCAGGGGATATAATCAAGTTTACTAACTTTAATATACCAATAGTATTACAGACAGGGATATCCTTTGGTGAGTTAACTAACAGCTTTAGTTCAACTTGGAAAATAGAAAAAGCTCTTTGTGTCATACATGCATGTGATATTGACAAGGTTTACCCTGTAAGTAAAATATTCTATGTAAAAGTCAACTTGTAAAAAAAAAAAAAAGGGTGTGTTTAGTAATGGTATTTTGTCCAAATATTTTGCATTTCACATTAATGTAATGTCATATTTTATTTAACTTATACATTAATTTATATCATTGCAGATGTTCATTGATGGGTTTTGATCTAAACAGACATTGGTTAGAACCTTCACCATGGGCACATCCTACCTTGTATGCTACAAAAAATAATCTGATGGAATTGGATCGCAATGATGTAATTATCTCCTGCAGAAATGCTTATTAAGGTGGCTGGGGTGTCTTAATTAAAATTGATAGAATTTTTTGATAATTTGTCAAAATGAAGTTTTTATCATGCTTTTTTCAAAAATATAATAAAAAGTATGGGTCACCAAACTTTTTTTCACGCTAGAGGTTGTGCAAAATTGTCAGATTTTGTATAGATTATGCATTGAAAATCAAATTTTGTGTGATAAAAAGAAAACTACTTGATAGAACTTTAAGATAAAATGTGAGAAGATAGCTCTTATAAGATGCGTTCCGATAAGAAAAAGAAAAGATGGGGTCACCGAACCAGTTTTCTTGCTACATATCAAAATATGTAAATTCACAACACTTTCTATTATAAAAATTACTTTATCTGAGTTATCTTCCCTTATTTGGCAAAGTTGAAAAAAATCTAATCAAACACAAATAAGGTGTTTAATCAAACACAAATAAGGTGTTTTTGAGAAATTACAGCCGTAATTATGATAAAACACACAATTTTCTATATTTACATCAAAAGTCTTTTACATAAATTACATACTACTCTCAAAATTTGCACATTTCGTGAAATATCTAGACCAACGTTATCTGCTACTTCGAAATCCAAGATGGAGGAAGACACCCGAGCCACCTTAAATAACAACTGTTTAATTCTAAATTTCTTTTTAAAGGAAGTCACATGTAAATAATTTCCTGCTTTTGAATGAATTAAAACAATTTATAGCATACATTATTACCACTTGTCAACTGAATACATTTTATGGAAGTATTTTTATAGCTTTGTCATCCCCTTCTCTGTGTCATTAGAAGCTTTTCTATATAAGTTATTTCCATTATATTTTCCTTCTCTACATTTAAAAAGAATGTCAGATCACTTTAATGAGGATTAACCTTGCAAGAATTTTCATTTCTAAGATAGCATATATGTCTTAATTGATGAATTTACCTAATTATACATAGTTTAATGATGTAAATAATTTCAGAAATGTGTCCTTGATTTTTACATTGATCTTCATGCTCATTCTACGCTGATGAATGGATTTATGTATGGAAACACATATGAAGATATGGAACGCTATGAGAGACAATCAGTCTTCCCTAAGTTATTGTGTGCTAATGCAGAGGATTTCTCACTAAACAATACAAACTTCAATAGGGATGCTGTAAAGGCAGGAACAGGTAGAAGGTTTGTATCATTCCTCATCTGCTACTGGATTCTTTCTTTTGACCAGTTTTCATCATTGGAAAAGATTCGCTATTTCTAGGGTACTTAATTTAGGGAACTCATCATTTGCTTCTCTCAAAGTAATTAATAATTTGTATTTCATACAGTATTTAAATTTGTGTTTTCCCAAACCAATAAATCAATGAAGATTGGTATCCCACAATTGAATCCACAGTAAAAAATAAATCAAAGATGTGCTCATCATTGTCTTTCAAGACAAACAAATCTATTTCTCCCCAATGATTATATAACTGCATTGTGGTTTTTGGATGTAGTCATTTAAGTATTGACTGAAAAACTTTTGGTGTTTTATAGATTTATGTTGATGTTTTTTTTTCTTCAGAACTTTAGGAGGATGTTTAGATGACAATTCCCATTGTTATACATTAGAAGTATCATTCTTTAGTTACCAGACAAGTTCATCAAGTACTGCAATGCCATATACAGAAGAAGGATGTATCCTTTATTGATAACTTACATTATTTAAAAACTTAAAAAATCTTACAAGAATCCAGTGAACTTGACAGTTACCTACCAAGGACATTTAAAACTAGAGGCTCTAAAGAGCCTGTGTCGCTCACCTAGGTCGATGTGCATAATCAACAATTGACTCTCTCCAACAATGTAGACAAGAATGGAATTCATGATGAAAATTTCTTGTTGATCTTGTATTGCTGATTATTTTGTCTGTTTTTATTTTTTCTCTATCTTCTTTAGTTTTTGCTCATAACACAAATGAGGGTAAAAAATCCTTATTTAAGGGCAATCACTCCTATGAAGAGTGACTGTCTACTTACAATATCGGCAAAATTTGACTTGTTTGTGGATCTTGCATTGCTGATCATTTTTGTTATTTAAAGTTTCTATTTATCTATTATAATATTGTATCATGTAAGGCAAAACACAAAAAAATATTGTCATTAAAGGGCAATAACTCCAATAAGGAGTTGTGAATTTTCCTCCATATTGTCTTAAATGTAGATCTTGTCTTGCTGATCATTTTTGCTTATTTAAGTTTCTATCTATCTATTATAATTTAAGATATAAGGCAAAAATGCAAAAATTTGGAAATCGTCATCAAAGGGCAATTACTCTAATTAGGAGTCGACTGTTGATTTTGACCATGCATACTTATTTGTAGATCTTATCTTGCTGATCATTTTTGCTTTTTCCTCTATTTATAACAGTTTTCAAAACATCTGGGGCATTAAGTGTTACCCTTGTCCGTCCATCGCGTACGTCCCCAAAATTGTTTTCCGTTTTCTAACTTTAGTTTGCCTCAACCAATATTATAAAACTTTTACATAATGCTTATTACCACAAAACACAGATAAAGTCTAAAATTGGGTGGGGTCACTTTTATAGTTCTTGAGTTATGCCCCTTTATAAATGGAAAAATTGCTAAATCTGTCGTTTCCGTTCTCTAACTTTAGTTTGCCTCAACCAAATGTTATGAAACTTATACACAATGCTTATAATCACAAAATGTTCTTAACTACTTGAATCCTGCATCTGTATGTGGAAGTTGACTCGTGAATATTTACAAGCGGGGGCAACCGTGGCCCATAGACACATTCTCCATTTATTTAAACTAGATACCCCAATGATGACCGTGACCAAGTTTGGTTAAATTTGGTCTAGTAGTTTTAGAGGAGAAGATTTTTGTAAAAGTTAACGGCGACGGACGCCAAGTGATGAGAAAAGCCCTTATGTTTTAGCAATGTTAACATAAGTCACCAGAGCAAGTGTAAAACAATGAATGTTCTAACTTGCTGGATTTGGATGTTAACTACTTTCACCAATAAACGAAAAACAAATATGATATACAACAAACAAATGACTGAATTACAGGCTCCTGACTTTAGTTAATAGGTTAGTTTATAGTTGAAAAATTACATTTGCAATTGTCATGTAGATTGAACTTATATAAATTCAAATAAGATATGTCAGTGGTAGATTATTTTTCATTAAAAAGTTAAAGAAAAAAACTTTCACTGAAAAGTACGGAAGTTTGGAGGGTAATCTTTAAATGGAGAAATATTATGTTTACAGGAATAGATTTTGTCATATTGTCCTTAACTGCTTCCCTTAGATATGAAATTAGGTAGAAATTTAGCCAGGACATTCTTAGATTATTACAAAATGACAGGACTGATAAGTGCTAAGCCTAGTAGTAGTATAGTACCTAAACCAGGAAGATATAACATTAGAGAACGAGCTAATACAGATCCACCATCAGAGTATGTATGGTTTCAAACTTCAACACAAAATTGTTTGTATCAGATAATATTACAGGGTTGATATTTCAAACTCTATAGACAGTTACAATTTTCTTTAAATGAAGATGTTATCATGTCAAAGCAGTAAAAAATGAAATGCCAACATTTTCAACAACAAAAAAAACAAAAATAATTAATAACTTTAGCACCTAAATTTGATGGTTGAGAATATTTGCTTTACTAGTTTTTGAAAAGCACAAGAAGTATTCAAATTTCCAACTTTTATCAAAAGGCAAGGTCTATGCTTATATTAAAATGTAGTTATGATAAGGATAGGTGTACATTTTCTTTTCCTAACTGTTGACAGGACAGATGATGTGAGTCCACTGTTTTTATATTCGTTGTATTAAAAATAAACCAAATATATATTATATATACATGTAAATTATTTATGGTACCAATGTTTAAACTTGGAATGAAGCTGACCAAACAAATATTCAATATTAATTACATTACATTAATTACATTACATTAATTTAATTACATTACTTAATATTAACATATATAAATTTAAAATTATAACAGAATGGTGTGTAGTGTTTAACTTAACTGTTAGCTAACAATTTTGAGGTAAACATGATACATATATTATATTTTCTATAGTAAACATTATGTGAACAGTCACAGGTCTTCATCACTAAGATATAGCTATCAAGAGGTAACTACAGGGTGAAGGTTTTCATCTACATATCTACTTGCTTGTCTTTGGCATTGGCAGCCATATATGACTTATTCTCTCTTGCATATCAGGTGAACTTTCTCACTTTCAAGAAATATCACATCCTCTTATGGTATATGTTTCGGTGATGGTGACATCAAAAAGTTGGGGTTGTTTTTGCGTTTAACAGTCCTTTGTTACTGCCGTATTTCCCATGAGAAATGAAAGTTTGCAGGATTCAATAGTCCATCTTGCTATTGCATACATTTCAGGAATGTTGTTGACACTGAAAAGTATAGTGACTTTTCTGGTGTATATTTCAAGCATAGTTCAAACAAACAATAAATAACCTTTTTTTCATAGAACTCTATAAAAGTATTGTCTCAGTATTCATAACTTTGTAGCCGATGAAAGCGTTTTTAATCATGTTTGAAAATTTTCTGTTTTTAGTTCATAAATCAATAACTCAGATTTTTCCAATAACTGTGCAGAATAATTTTATAGAGAGCTTTTCCCTATCAGTGTTTCCTTGGGGTTGCTGCTAATGATGAAGTATTGAACTAAGAGTTCTGCTTTGTAAATTTGAAGTCATTTCTTTCAAAAGTTTTACGGAGGCCATTACAAATTGGTCGACCATTATGGAATATATGTTTCACAGATGATGACCCATATATAGATTTAAGAAGATGTGGTATGAGTGCCAATGAGACAACTCTCCATCCAAGTCACAATTTGTAAAAGTAAATCATTATAGGTCAAAGTACGGCCTTCAACACGGAGCCTTGGCTCACACCGAACAGCAAGCTATAAAGGGCCCCAAAAATGACTAGTGTAAAACCCATATGTCCCAATTGATGTAACCACAATCCTGTGACAGCCCCTTTTCCACAAATGTGGCATTACCAAATTAGACTGTAACTGCTGACCCTCATGGAGCAACCACTTCACTCTAATTTTTGGTTGGCAATCAATTGTTTTCAATGTTGCGTTTTGTGAAATACATGAATTGTATGTCTTTTTTTCTATGGGGAATAGTGTACTATGTCTTTCTCTGACTTGCACTTTTGATTGCCTCCATAGGTTTTACTTATTTTCTTAATGATAGATTAATTTAATGATGCTTAAGATACTGTCATAAAAGCATCTTAACAACTCCATTACAAGAAGATGAGAAGACTTATTGGAAGTGATTGAATAAATTACATTGTCCATTGTTGAGTTTTCTAATCTTTGAGGTTTCAGATTAGTACCCCAAATACAATATACAATGAATAATGGTAGTTAGTTAAATTGTGGATTTTAATTTATGCTGCAAAGCAGTCCAGAAATGTCTCTGGTAAAAGTTTTAATATGAAATAGGCAATGCTTAAATAAAGAGAGCTCAGCAATTTTGTTTATTTCCATAGAAAAGTTGTCCACTGAATCAAGATATTGCTACATAAGATAGCCTTCTAGAAAATACATTTTGTAGTTCAATAAACAATTGTCAAGTGTTAAAACAATGATATCCAAGAGGAGAACAGAAGGAAAATCTAAAATAGAATAATCCATGAAAATTTTACTTTTCAAAAACATTATCAGTAGTGTTTTCAGTAATTTTTATTAACATCTTCTTCACACAGTTTTCTGTGTGAGCTTGCTGCGCTAAATGTTATTCAATCTTCTAAGTTGAAACATTTTGGTTTTTCTTCCTTGAATACTTTTCTCACCATTTTAACCACTTAACATTTTTGAATAGAGATTACTGAGGAACTTAGGTCACTTTCAAGAATGAAATATCCAAGTTCTAGTGGAGTCTTAGAATTTTGTGTTAATGGCTGTCCTTTGATTGTTTCTGTTATATTGTTTCACAACTTTTATAGACGTGTCCATTTACAGTTTCACATATTGTAAAGACACCTGTCTTTTGTTGAAGACTATGTTGCCCTTTAGTTGTATTTTGGATATTAATTGTCATTGGGTTGCTGTCTCATTAATCTATATCCACTTTTATTCATGTTGAATAAATTTCATATTATGTGTAATCCATACAAAATGAGACATGCTACATATATTTAAGGGATGAATTGACACAGTTATGTTAATAACTGTGCTGAATAGAAAGATGACACGCTACATATATTAAAGGGATAAATTGACAGTTATTTTGATATCTGTGGTCAACAGAAACATGACACATTTTGATGTAAGTTTTTTTGCAGAATCCTGAGATTTTATCAAGATAAAAGAAGCCTTCATAATCTGCATAATTCCTTTTTTCTGTTTTCCTCATTTTGATTATATTTACTTCAGGTACAGGTCTTGAAATAAGAATTGGTAAGACTGTCACTCAAAGCACTTCTCCCTCCCTTTGTAGAACTATAAATGTAATCAACTACACAATCAATGCCTTAGTTTTTTAATTATGAGAAAATATAAAAGATATGAACAAAATTGTTTGCAGTTTGATAAAAAACAAGCCATTTTATAATTTGAAAGTTAGAATTTTACATTTGCTATTTATCTAGGTTTGAATTATCAATTTTACATGATTTGAGAAAAAAGTCGTACTTTCCTGGATTCATAATTCAATCAGTGAACTGTAAATTCAAATTAGAAAAGGTTAATTACGAAAACTTTGAAAAATACTTTTATCTTAAAAGAAAATCATTATAAAACTAAGGCAAATTAAATAGAAGTCTTCATGCTTTAAAACAAATTTCTTTTTAAAACTTGTTATCTCCCTTTAATGAATAGTTTAATTTAACACTATTGTATACTTATCATATTGGTCATTAAATGTATGATGAAAACTATAGAAATTGCATGAGAGCACTTCTCAATGTTTAGGGGTTAAATTTGTTCACTGCATGTTTTAAATCTGTCTTCATCATGTTTTGAGAAATCTATCTTCCAGAAAGTCACATATAAATATGCAGGATCCTTATTGCAGATACTGTCTTCAGTGTTTATTTTATATTTTGCAGATAATTTTAATGCTGTAATGGTGTTTATATAGAGGAATGCTTTCAGTCTTTGTATTTGCTTTTTTTTTTTAAGTTAAACAAAAGATATAATTACCATTTTAAACTGAAAATTTTATCAAAGGGAAATAACTGAATCTTATTTGAAAGATCACAATGAATAAAGTATGTAGAAAATTTCAGATTCTAATGAAATAAAAAAAAAATCTCTGTGATCATGTATGATTAAAAAAAGGAAATTATGTAGAATGTACATGTGTATTAAAAAAAACAAATTCTACCAATATTTTGTTTTTTGCTGTATTTTTTAAGAAGTTTGCATTCTATTTTTCAGTTTTGATGAAAGACCTCGACACAACCGACTAGATTATCATATCAACAATACAAGTTCATTTGGTGACACATCAATACGTTTACAGTTCAGAGACCGGGAAAGAAGATACTGATTTATTAGATATTATAGATTATAGATTATGATAATAATGATAATGAAATTCCATAGGAATAATTAATAATGGTATTTTCAAGAAATAAGTCTGTTCTTAAATCAAAATTAAGAAATTCAACATTTCTTTCATAAAGAATGGGATATGATTTTTAGTTTTTCCAATTCTAGCTGGATATGTTCTTAAGATATGTAAATTAACATTTCAACTGCATAATTTTTGTGTGTGTGCAGGATTTCCCTTTTTCAAATTTTAAAAGGAAACCATTTAATAATTTTACAGGATATAATTACATAATGTATGTTATTTTATAAAATGTAATGTTCTGTCCAATGATAATGATATTAGCATTGAACAAACTTTACAACTAATACTCACTGCACACTTACTGTTTACAGCTCTTCTTTCTTTCCTTTGAACAGTTTCCAAAATACAAAAAATAGCTTCTTTGCAAAAATAACAAGCTTAAACTGGTATGTTTATAATATGCAGGATGCTATAACATATAATAAGGATGTGCATATTGTCAGGATTTTGATTTTCTTAACATTTTCATCAAATGGCAGAATTTTTAAGATTGTCATGTTTATGGGAAATTATGCATGCAGGTTACATGGTTTGTCTGGCTTACTCCTACAATTTTCAAGCTTATACTTTTATACTATGCAGGGTTTTAGTACATGTACAAATGGTGTGCAGTTTGTGATGATTTTGTTTTTACTTAAATTTTTCATAAAAGACCGATGTTGAACTTAAGTCATTTGTATGCATCCAGTGTTCATTACTCAGTTGGAATAAAAATGCATTTATGATGACTTTTCAGTCCTACATTAACCAAGAACAGTGGTTAACTGGATATTGCAGTTACCATGTACATTTTTGTTTTTATTAACATTAACAATTTTTACCTCCTTTCCACTTTTTAAAACTTGAGTTTGGAAGTTTAAAATGAACAACTACAACAATAGATTGTCCTACATAATGGAATAAATCATAACTTTGTCCCCAATGTTTAGACACAACCATTTCAAGTTGTACTTCAACATCACTGGTTTCTTAATCTAATGTTTGTTGATTTGTTTTCATACATACATCATCATCTTTGTCTAGTTTAAATTCATTTTTAAAAGCATTTTGTAAAAGCTGTCTTCTCATATTTTATCAAAATGCTGTCATTTTGTTTTCCTTTTATTCACATAATAATGCCATTTCCCTGTGTAGTCCTTACAAAATGTGTAAATGTTTCAAAACCACCAGCTTGAAAACATTCGGTAGCCCATCATTTTTAAAATAGCACTCACGATACAAACTACATTTTGACAAAGTATGAACAATTTTTTGTCATTTTTTGTTTATACCCCCATACAACTGTCATTCAGGTTTAAAGTAAGTTGACAATGTCCCGTCAACAGAATATATCATTACTATATATGATGACTATATTAGAATATTTTATTATAATTTCAATTAAACTTTTGTTTGAGAAAAGATATACAGCATTTCTGTTTCAGTATTTCTTCGTCTTAGAATTCCTATTTTCCACCATTTAGACTCAACATTGTTATTAACTGATAATACAGAAATTGATCATGGACCTTATTTTCTATATTTGGATAAACATGAATTTCCCATATTTTTTGAATGCTAAATGGAATGATATTTTGAGAATTAAGACTACATTTTATGTTATGTTAATTATAGTTTGTTTCTATAAAAAAAATCTGTGACCTGATTCTTGTATATTGTTGAACAGCATTACGGAAATATAGTATATAGGCCATTAATTCTTCTTTCCAAGACTCGTGTCAAGCATTTAAAATTTTATCTTTTTAAATTTTTTTTAAATAATTTTAATGAGATACAATCATTGCAGTGGGAATATTTTAGGTTAAACTAGTCACCTGTTGATTGTTCAGAAGTTTACAGTATACCTCATTATTTTTATTACTGCAGTTTCAAGGGCAGGTAATTACTATTAATTTCTTATTATTTCATCATTTGAACTTACAAAGGTATTTTACCTTTATGGCAAAAGGCTGGTTTTATGTTTGTAGGACATTTCCAGGGAATTTTTCTCAGATTCAATATTGGTATTTGTAGTTTGAATAGGGAGACAGTAAGGATAAACTTGGATAAGGTAAAGCAAGATAATTCTCATTTAAGCAGATTGAAAATGGAAGATTATTTTTCAATCATAAGATAGGTATTGTAAGTTGATTAGAAAATAATTTATTAAAAGTTAGTCATGAATACATTGGGGAAATTATAAAAGGATGTTTTAAAAAAATCTCAGTGATATTGAGACTAATTGAATAGAATTTTATTCTAATTAAACAATATTTATATAATTTTTTTCGATCAGTAGCAATGTTTTAAGTGTTTTATACAAGAACATGTGAAGTAGATGTGACTGAATTAGGTACATATATCCCCTTTGGGTAAATTTATTATGTGTTACTTGTGTGGGGTGCATCAGATAATCAGCATGGCCACCGAGTGGCACCGACCCAAACAAACTAGTTGATAGAAATGTACTTGTTTAAATAACAAAATAATTTTTAGGTCACTTTATGACTTAAGTATGCAGTACAAATGATCTTTAGGTGTGAATTTTGTAATCTCCCAGAGGTACACATGAAAACATTTGCCATCTTTCTGGTTGAAACATTCCTAGTTGTTATATGAATTTCACTTGTGATATTGTTGTATATATTATACAAATATTTTATTTATTTTTAATGATCTGTGATTTTTAAATTCTTATACCGTCCACAAATAAATTTAAGTTACTGATAGTTGTTTTATTTCCCTGATATTGAGTTAAATATAGTTGATGCCATTAAATTTAAGGTGAATAACAGGAGATGTTGGGTCTATTACAATGAGATTACAACCCAATGACACAAATAACCAAAAAATATCTAGAGGGCAACATACAGTTCCAAAGGCCTCCCAAACAGGAAGTAACCAGAATAGCTACTTTATCTTAATACACTGAAATATAGTTCTTGATAATTCTCATGTTTTGTGTTTGTATGAACATATGAACTGTGAAAAATTTGGGTTATATCTTTAAAGCATTTCATTGAAGTGTGTGTGTCTTTAGTTATGTCAATTTGCTGGCTATTTTTGTCTAGCGTTGAAAAAACGAGACTAAGGCGTGCTGTTTCCATCTGTGTCAACAATGTATTTGTTTGTGATAAGGTCCGTTTATAGGGAACCACTAGTGGTAGGTCAATGCTATTTGATATGCAGTTGTATAAGCAATTGCACATCTCATTCCCATGGAGATTATTTGGCCCTGCCCCCTCAGTCATGTTCTATTGACTTTGAAACTTTTGCTTAGTTTACATGTATTAGTTTGCTATTAGGTCAGTTTAAGGGGAACCATTAGTGGTACGTCAATGATATTTGGTATGCAGTTATATAAGCATTGGCACATCTCGTTTCCATGGAGATTATTTGATCCTGCTCCCTCAGTCATGGTTTATTGACTTTTGAATTTTTCCTCAGTTTACATGTATTAGTTTGTGTAGTAGTAGATCAATGATATTTTGTATGCAGATGTTTTAGCATTAGTACATCTCATTTCCATGAAGATTATTTAGCCCACCCCCTCAGTCATGGTATATTGACTTCGAATGTTTTACATAGTTTAATTAAGTCTCCCAAACGAAGTTTGGGATGACTTATTGTTTTTGCTCAGTTCTTATTATTATTATTATTCTTCTTCTTCTTCTTCTTCTTCTTCTTCTTCTTCCGCCGCTTTTAAATTTGAACTTGTCCGCACCCGTTCTCCAAAACCGCTAGTCAGATTAACTTAGGGTTTCACAATATGTTAGACTAACATGTCTAGTGGTGCAATCAGGGTTTTGTTTGTGCAATGGGGTTTATAAAGGGGTACTTTGAGGGGCAAAAAGAAAAGAGGGTTTTACTATAGAACCCTATGGGATTTTATTTTTTTAAATTTTCAAATGATTATAAATTGAAAACCGTTTGTGATAGACACAATCTTTTTAATTGAAAATGTTCTAAATAATAAAGCCCATTAAATGAAATACAGGGTTAGTCCCCAGGGGTCACCCCCACCCCCTGCCATTTAAGAAAGTTCTAATACCTTGTAAGTGGTCAAGATCCCCACCCCTAAACCATATATATTCTGGTTTGTCATGCTAAGATGGTTTGAATGATATACAGGGTTAGTCCCCAGGGGTCATCCCGACCCCCTGCCATTTGAGAAAGTTCTAATATCTTGTAAATGGTCGAGATCCCCACCCCTAAACCATATATATTCTGGTTTGTCATGATAAAGCACATCAAATGAAATACAGGGTTAGTCCCCAGGGGTCACCCCCACCCCCTGCCATTTAAGAAAGTTTTAATATCTTCTAAGTGGTCAAGATCCCCACCCCTAAACCATATATATTCTGGTTTGTCATGCTAAGATGGTTTGAATGATATATAGGGTTAGTCCCCAGGGGTCATCCCGACCCCCTGCCATTTGAGAAAGTTCTAATATCTTGTAAATGGTCGAGATCCCCACCCCTAAACCATATATATTCTGGTTTGTCATGATAAAGCACATCAAATGAAATACAGGGTTAGTCCCCAGGGGTCACCCCCACCCCCTGCTATTTAAGAAAGTTCTAATATCTTCTAAGTGGTCAAGATCCCCACACCTAAACCATATATATTCTGGTTTGTCATGCGAAGATGGTTTGAATGATATACAGGGTTAGTCCCCAGGGGTCATCCTGACCCCCTGCCATTTGAGAAAGTTCTAATATCTTGTAAATGGTTGAGATCCCCACCCCTAAACCATATATATTCCTATTTGTCATGTCTCGAACATTTGAATGATGTATACGGTTAGTCCCCAGGGGTTCCCCCCACCCCCAATGTTCTAATATCTTGTAAATGGTTGAGATCCCCACCCCTAAACCATATATATTCCTGTTCGTCATGTAATGAACATTTGAATGACGTATAGGGCCAGTCCCCAGGGGTTCCTCCCCACCCCCAATGTTCTAGTATCTTGTAAATGGTCAAGATCCCCACCCCTAAACCATATATATTCTGGTTTGTCATGCCAAGATGATTTGAATGATATACAAGGTTAGTCCCCAGGCATCACTAATGCATATAACTTTACTGGACCAAACCAATTTTCACTGGACGTTGCCCAATGTCAGGCGACCCTGGGAATTACGAATTATGGGAGCTTCGTTTGGGAGACTTCGTAACAGCATCCTGTTACAATCATTTCTTGTTATTCTTCTTCTTCTTCTTCTTCTTCCGCCGCTTTTAAATTTGAACTTGTCCGCACCCGTTCTCCAAAACCGCTTGTCGGATTAACTTAGGGTTTCACAATATGTTAGACTAACATGTCTAGTGGTGCAATCAGGGTTTTGTTTTTGCAATGGGGTTTATAAAGGGGTACTTTGAGGGGCAAAAAGAAAGGAGGGTTTTACTATAGAACCCTACGGGATTTTATTTTTTTAAATTTTCAAATGATTATTAATTGAAAACCGTTTGTGAGAGACACAACCTTTTTAATTAAAAATGTTCTAAATGATAAAGCACATTAAATGAAATACAGGGTTAGTCCCCAGGGGTCACCCCCAACCCCTGCCATTTAAGAAAGTTCTAATATCTTGTAAATGGTCTAGATCCCCACCCCTAAACCATATATATCCTGGTTTGTCATGCTAAGATGGTTTGAATGATATACAGGGTTAGTCCCCAGGGGTCACCCCCACCCCCTCCCATTTAAGAAAGTTCTAATATCTTGTAAGTGGTCGAGATCCCCACCCCTAAACCATATATATTCTGGTTTGTCATGATAAAGCACATCAAATAAAATACAGGGTTAGTTCCCAGGGGTCACCCCCACCCCCTCCCATTTAAGAAAGTTCTAATATCTTGTAAATGGTCTAGATCCCCACCCCTAAACCATATATATTCTGGTTTGTCATGCTAAGATGGTTTGAATGATATACAGGGTTAGTCCCCAGGGGTCACCCCCACCCCCTCCCATTTAAGAAAGTTCTAATATCTTGTAAGTGGTCGAGATCCCCACCCCTAAACCATATATATTCTGGTTAGTCATGATAAAGCACATCAAATAAAATACAGGGTTAGTCCCCACGGGTCACCCCCACCCCCTCCCATTTAAGAAAGTATTAATATCTTGTAAGTGGTCGAGATCCCCACCCCTAAACCATATATATTCTGGTTTGTCATGCTAAGATGGTTTGAATGATATACAGGGTTAGTCCCCAGGGGTCATCCCGACCCCCTGCCATTTGACAAAGTTCTAATATCTTGTAAATGGTCGAGATCCCCACCCCTAAACCATGTATATTCTGGTTTGTCATGATAAAGCACATCAAATGAAATACAGGGTTAGTCCCCAGAGGTCACTCCCACCCCTCCCATTTAAGAAAGTTCTAATATCTTGTAAATGGTCGAGATCCCCACCCCTAAACCATATATATTCTGGTTTGTCATGCTAAGATGGTTCGAATGATATACAGGGTTAGTCCCCAGGGGTCATCCCGACCCCCTGCCATTTGAGAAAGTTCTAATATCTTGTAAATGGTTGAGATCCCCACCCCTAAACCATGTATATTCTGGTTTTTCATGATAAAGCACATCAAATGAAATACAGGGTTAGTCCCAAGAGGTCACCCCCACCCCCTGCCATTTAAGAAAGTTCTAATATCTTGTAAGTGGTCAAGATCCCCACCCCTAAACCATATATATTCTGGTTTGTCATGCGAAGATGGTTTGAATGATATACAGGGTTAGTCCCCAGGGGTCACCCCCACCCCCTGCTATTTAAGAAAGTTTTAATATCTTGTAAATGGTCAAGATCCCCACCCCTAAACCATATATATTCCTGTTCGTCATGTCTCAAACATTTGAATTATAGGGTCAGTCCCCAGGGGTTCCCCCAATCCCCAATGTTCTAGTATCTTGTAAATAGTCGAGATCCCCACCCCTAACCCATATATATTCTGGTTTGTCATGCCAAGATGATTTGAATGATATACAGGGTTAGTCCCCAGGCATCACTAATGCATATAACTTTACTGGACCAAACCAATTTTCATTGGACTTTGTCCAATGTCAGGCGACCCTGGGAATTACAAATTATGGGAGCTTCGTTTGGGTGACTTCGTAACAGCATCCTGTTACAATCATTTCTTGTTGTAATTAGATCAGTTTTAGATAAACCATTAATGTTAAGTCGATGATATTTGGTATGCAGATGTATAGGCATTTGCAAGTCTCATTTCAATGGAGATTATATGGCACAACCCCCTCATTATGGTTTATAGTCCCCTACTGACGAAGTCGAAGGGGACTTTAGGTTTGCACTCAGTCCGTCTGTCTGTCTGTCTGTCTGACCAAAAGACAGTATTAAGAGCAAAATTTTGAAAATATTTATTTTCATTTTTCCATATTCTACTGATTAATGGACTTCGTTTCTTTTACAGTTATCATTCAGATTCAGTCTGAGGTTAAAGTTTTTCTGTCATCATTAACTTTTTTCAAACCTTCTTGAATTTTATGAAATTTGGACAGAAGCTTGATAATGTCCAAAATACAGTATCCAGAGCATAATTTTGGAAATATTTATTTTCATTTTTCCATATTTTAATGATATATGAACTTAGTTTATTTCACAGTCTGGGGTTTAAGTTTGTTACACATCAAATACTTTGTCAAACCTTCATAGAATTTTATGAAACTTTAGCAGAAGCTTTTTTATGCCCCGGCCGTGGCGGAG